TACCCATCGACGCACCTCGTAATCGGCGTATGGCCATTTCAATGCGTTAATGATAAAAAATAAATTACTTCTCAGCCACTCCTCAGTCTTCTATTCGTTGTGCCTCACGAATCCTCACTCACGTGTACCGTATAAAGCTTAACCCACATGCACTGCCATGCGCACGTTATATCCATACCACGTAAAAGGCCGTGTATCTGCATCCATACGTGTATATATATATTGCACTAACTCTGCTTCTGCTGCCGGTTCTGTTACCCGCTTGGCGATCCGTTCGTCCGTGTAAACGCTGCCTTTACGGTTTTCGCGACGCTTAACGGCGCGATTTACAGTTCTACTTGCTCGGCCGTACGACGTTTCCTCGTCTTCCTCGTCTTTCGCTACTGAAATTGTCCTTTATTGTCGATGAGCTCTCGATACGGGGCTCTGCGGATGCAAGAATTGCGATTTATCGCCGACTCGTTCGATTAATCGATTTTTCGAGCAACCGATTCGCGGTCATGGTCGTCGAGTCTTATACGTCGAAGGTCCGACCTTCGCGACCTACGCTTATTTATATACCCGACTCCCACTCGGATAAAAGACCCTGATAAGCATACGAGCCTGATAACTCGTATGCTTATCGTTTACCGGCGTTATCGCGGTTATCGGTTCTTCTATCTATTTTTCCGCGAAAAGGAAATCAATTTTAAATCCACCTTACGATCGCTTACCGATCGCTCGACGGACACAACGCGAATTCTAACGGAAAAAGAAAGTGCCCGACCGCGATGCCCAGCGCCGACTTTCACGTCGCGACGTCGCTCGAAACACGCTCCCCGTATACGAAGGTCCTATAGTAATGATAATTCATGTCCTTTGAAATTCTGGCGAATCCTCACTGTTACTACCGGCCAAGTTCTCAAGTTGGCTTGCATATATATATATATAAGTATACATAAGTATACCAAAGAAGAATCCCGCCATGAAGAGTTCCTCGAAGGTACAGTGTAAAAAAGTTTCTCTTACTCTGTATTGACTATATATATATATACATCAATCTTTCGGTACGGCTTTTGTTCTTTCCTCGTTACTCCTCGCGCCTAATCCGGGAATGTTTCACGGGAATCCAGTTTTTCTCCGGAACACGGGTACAAGGAGCGGCGGGGACCGGTGAAGACGATTTGGCGCACGTCGCGCTTTGCGATTCCACCCTGACGAGCATAATTACCTCCCCGACTGAAGTAGAATCGCGGGCGATGCTTAATGCACGACTTACTGCCACGGCACGTTGATTGGACCGAGACCAGGTCGATTCTCGGCTGCTGAAAGAAGCTCGAATTATCGAGTGGTTTAGGTTGGCTCTCGTGACTCCTTGCTCCGAGCGAGCGATTTACTTACCGACTTGGTCTCAGCAGTCCACGCAGGCCTGACTACTTCGAATTCGAAGTACTTCGTGCTTACCAAGCTGGGGAATGCCTTTCCGCGTGTCCCGCCCACGTGTAATTTCCCTCTCGGATCATTCCAATTCTTAAGCCAAATATTCGAACCAAGTGATACACACTGGATAAAGCGCTTTGTATACGCTCGATCGCTCCCGAATAAAGAACCGCGTTATGGTCGTCCTCAGATTAGAAGGTCGTCGGCACTGGCGTGTCAATGATACCGGCACGTTTGCCAAAAGGAACCTTGAAGACTCTTCTCGCAGCTAACGTCCAGATCGGATTTTATACGGGAGCTCGTATACACGCGGCTGACACAAGGGTCTGGTGGGTTTTGAAGAAATAATTTTGCATTCTCATCATTGGTGCATAGACCATTTTTTTTTTTTTTTTCGAAAATCATCCTCCGATTTTTTTCGAACGTCCGTCGTGACTCCTCGAAGGATTTTTGATCCTGAAGACTTTTCGACCTAGGTGGGCAGGACACGTGGGTTATCATGGACCGTGGTTTCTATAGGCAGTGGTATGGTATTCTGATTGAGATATTTTTTTTTATTTTCTATTATGTTATTGTCCGTATCCGAGTGGAGGTAAGTCTCTAATCTCTCTCTAAAAGAGTCCCCGGGCGATATCAGTGCCGTATACGACTCCCGGTGTCGGCTTAATTAGACGCGTTCTACGCGGAGCAGAAGCGCGGGTAGATTACCGAGACGGTGGGAGCTCTCTGTGTACATACGGTAATCTCTCACGTAGCACCTAACCTGTTGGCATTTCACTGGAGAAAGTAGCGAGACTTGCGGAGCATAGCTCGCGCACTCCTGGGACACTCTTCAAGAGTCCAGGTACGTACGTATGGGGGTGCCTCGATGTACCCGGCAGAACCAACCCACCTCCAGTCTAGTCCCGGGTACGCAGTTCATAATCGTCCTTGATAAGGATTACCGTGGAAGAAAATGTCTCTTAAAGATTGTACAGCTTTTCTTGGATAGCCCCGTCAAATAAAATATTAACAACGGGCCACACGCGTACTCGTAAAACTGGCCCGTTGACGTCCTTGGCAATTGTTTTGTCGCCGGGGGAAAAAAAAAAAAAAAATTTAGCTGTCACCGAGAACGGCGGAATTTTTCGTGAGCGGCCACGAGGTACGGCGGCTACCGGGTGAAAAAGGATTCGAGGATATTTTTTACGGCAGGAGAGACCAGCATTTCCTTGGGGCGTGTACGTGTCGTTTCTAGCACGCCTTGACCTTCCGCCCGTGGCCCGGAATAGAATTAGTATTTTTAGTACTGGGCTTTTGAACACGATCCGTCGCTTCCCCCTCTCTGCCCCCTTCGCCCCTTCGTGGACGGCTTCTTCCAGGGGGAAGAGGAGTGACAGGAAAAAGGGTAAAAAAAGGATCATCGTCCAAGCTCCAGTTCCTTCTTCCGGAAACCATCTTAACTTCCCGTTTATCATTCGTGAACGCACTGACTCGAGACGTCGGGAGCGTCGTGGCGCATCGAAAATCATTTTGTTTTCGCGCTACGTTTCACCTGCAAATTTTCCGCCATGCAATTAACACGCTCCGGTATTTTCGATGCATTAATTCCAGTCGAATTAAAGCACTCCTCGGGTACCGTAAATGTTCGCCGTGACATTTGGACACCCTATGGATAACCTATAAGACTTTTCAATCTCCATGCACTGTCTCAGGACTTTTTTTCTCTCTCTTAAGGAATCTTAGGGACATGGAAAAGCCTATTGAAAACTATCGTTATCCTGTCGCGCTTGGGTATGGTAAAGGAACGAGTTTTACTCGGTCGGTAAGGTAGGTACGACGGTTCGAGTCCGCGATTGGAATCTTCAGTTTCTCAACGCTTTCCTTTAACGAGGTTTGGAATGCTTTAAAAAGAATGATAGCAATTAGCCTCGGAGCAGGGTGTAATGGCTACTTTCGGGTGGAGAAGGTCGAACGCGTACCGAGAGCCAAGGAGATTCTCTCTCTCTCTCTCTCTCTCGCTGTCTCTCGCTCGTTCGCTCAAGAGAGTACACTATAGAACCGCAATACGGCAGAGTACAAGCAGTAAGAATAATATAGCCGACCCGCTTTGCACCATTGGCGTCAGCCAGCAGCCAACCCGACCAACCAGCCAGCAGCCGAGTAACCTTAATCGGCGAGATTTGTTCGTACCCTGTAATCCTCCCGCTGGACGCGTACGCCAATTTCCCAAGGATCGCGAGAACGAGAGTCATTTTCCGCCCGAGGAAGAGCCGTATGTGTGTCGGAGAGCAAATAAATTCAATTTAATCCACAATGCGTCCGCGTCAAACTGGTAAGAGCTGGGAATGAGAGCAAAACGTAGGACCCTCGGTATCTCGTAAAATTGTCTCGAATCGGTCAATATTCGGGTTCTATTATCTAAATCTCGGACGGGGATGCCTATGGCTAACGTGGATACGTATCTGTACGTATATCGCTCGAGAATTGGGAGCTGGCTAGCGTATCGGGCACGAGTCAGCGAGGTGGCAAACCGAACGGTGAAACAGAACAGAGCCTGGCCTAGTAACGGCAAATCTCTGGTGTCAATGTATCGTCTCTGCCGCTGTGCGAGAGTATCGTATAGGTATACACCATACGCTTTCCTGCTTAGGCCTTTATCATTGATCTCCGATTGAATCGGAGCATCGTGTATACGGGTAGTGGATGTATCCGAAGCTCATGGATCTTTGATGAAGTTGATAACTAGCGTATTAACACGATGGGGACTTGTTGGGCTTATTTCGTATGATCCGCGACAAGTATTCATTGCTCTTGGAGTAAATGATGCCTGGTCTACTCGTGCCAAACGTGTACCGGGCGGATTGTCCTGAGGGATAGGGAGGAGCTGATTTTACTTGCACCAGGACGCTTGTCGATCGTTCAGATTTATGTTTCGTAACGCGCTGAGGTATCGGAGGAAGCGTATGCAGGACTCACGAAAACGGTCCGTTCACCTCTTGGTGACGTCAGTGCCTCGATGCCAACACTCAGAGGCCCCTGACCAGGTCACAGACCGAAAACAGGAACTGACTACGTGCTCTAGCTTTGACTACTTAACGCTCGACGTGCTCAGGCGGAATCTCCTTTCTGCCGATGTCAGGTCCTTGACTGCATCTTTGGCTATCGGATTTAGGCTTTTTTTTTCTTTCTTTTGTTTTTCCTGGGTGAGCGAATTTTTTTTTTAATTCAACAACCAACATTTACCATGATGGCTTTGTCTCTGGTTTCGAGCCTTTTTCTTGGGTCTGGTAGCTGATGGTTATGGCAGCCACCGGGCTTTCGTCCTTTTGGATGGGACTGTCGGGTGCAGAGACGGGGCTTGATACTATTTAGGATATCAATTGATAATTTTTTTTTTCTAGGATCGATTTGCCTCTCGGGGATATTTTGATGGATTTCTTAGGATTTCTAGGGAATTTTGTCCTGGAACTTTAAGTCAGTGGTTACTTTTGTAGTTGTGGAGTTTTTTTTATTCCGTAGGACGTGTTTTAGGTTTCTATTTTTCTCTGATCTCTTCCTTCTCGTTCGTTTAGTAAACTCTTTGCTTCCCATTGTTTCAGGTTATTATCAGCCGGCTGGACCACTGATACAGCATCCTCCTACATTACCTCCGGTGAAAGGACCCCCACCGGAACCAACCCCGACGCCGCCTCAAAATTCCGAAGGTTCCGATGACCTAGTTGCAACTTCCACGACGTCCGGAGGAACCAGTAGCTCAGGTACGGAGACTTTCGGGAAGTCCTTGTGGCGTCATGTACCCCTATTTGGTCAAAGGTGAACACTCACCGGAGCTAATGGCTGTTTCAGGGAACGGCGGTTTCTACAGATCGTACTGTCCACAATATTATGGCACGCCTCCGCAGTATCAGGAACTGTGCTATCCACCGACGTACTCCCATCCCCATCCGCATCCGCCTCCGTACTACAAGTACGCACCGACGTACAGAAGGTAAGGTAGAAACAGAGCCAGGCTACCGAACACCTAGTACGATTGCTTGGCGGATTTAAGAATAGCTGCGAATCGTACGAGTAAAGAACCCTGTTTCTTCCTAGGCAGTACTATGGATACCAGGAATCCGGCGGAGCGGGTGGACCCGGTGGAGGAGGCGCCGTCGGGGGTCCCGGCGTTGTGGAGTATCAGCCACCACCTCCGTCAGCTGAATATCCGCCACCCCCGTATTACGGTGGTTACCCACCGCCGCCGCCGCCACCGCCGCCTCCAAATCCAGCATATCTGCACACTCAGGGGAGACCGTTCGTAGACCGTAAGTCTCATTGCTTCTGGTCATGACCAGATGGCTTGCTCTTTGAGACGTCGTAAGGATTCTGGGTAACCGACCGTACGACTTTGGTCCTGATTGCAGATGCAGCTTTCCAAGGTTGCCCATGCCCGATGCAGTCATGTCCAAAAAACGTGGATACTGGGCCCCTTATTGGTAATGGTAAGGGAGCGCCAGTGGTATCAGGGCCCGGTCTGTCATTGCCACCCAGTGCTTTGGTAGGGCCGCCCTCACCAGCTAGGGGGCTAGCTGGGCTAGCTCCTCCACATGGTGCCAATGCCTGGGATACGGATCGCGTCCAAATCAACACTCACCGCAACCTCAATCAGAACCAACCTCCGCTAGCGCCTACGCATAGCTTGCCTGGTGGGCCGCATGTTCATCCACAGAATTTGGACTGCAGGACCAAGGTAAGGTTTGGTGAGGATAGTCTAAGGACTCTTACGAATGACCATTTGAACGGTGGTACCCTTTGTTCGTGTGGCAGGACGAGAAGACTTGTCAGGACGATAAGCTGAGGAAGTGTAGTTGTCAGAAACATGCGTGCACTTCGACCTGCGAGGTCAAAATGGAAACTCTGTCGCCGACTGATAAGTTGACCGTGACCACGTGCCCGACCTCGAAACTTCGTAATTTCAAACTTGAGAATAATAACGTTAAGTGCGAATCCTGCAGTGTGGCTTCCGTCGGGGAGAATCTACCTTGTGCAGCAAACTGTGAGGTGAAATGCGAATCGGGATACAAGTGTGAGATTATCAAGTGCGAACAGTGCATGAAAGAGGGACAGATGACTATATTAGAGATCGACAAGGACTCGGGAATTCTCATGATCGACGACAAGCTCGAGACTGAACCTGACGTCAAGGAGGAGATGAACGACGTCGTCGTTATTGAAAATGAGAACTGGAAGAAGCCGGATTACGAGTCTACGGTGCAGGAAACTGTCGAGGATAAGGAAACCAGTGACGTCAGCACACTGGTACCGGAGGAGCAGGAGCAGCCTAGGTGTCAAAAAGTGACCAAGAGGAAACTATCCTTGGACAGTTTGTCGGATAATATAAAGAAACGAAAGGTGAATAAAAGGACATTGTCAGTGGGTTCGGCGAGAGATTTAAATTGTAGCGATCCAACCTCGAGGTTGACCATTCCTACGGAAAGTCTTGTGGAGGCTGTGGAACGCGTTGGCGAGCCTTGTACCACCAAGAAGAAGCAGACCAAGAAGGAAGTTCCGAATCAGAAACGCAAGACTGAAGGTTCCAGTCCTTGCGAGACACCAGCCAAGAAACCTAAGAGTTCGAAGCAGACGGTCGGCGTTGGCTGTATCTCGAATTGCCTGAAGAATCCTGCAAGCGAAACCTCCATTATGGAGACGATTAACAACGTGATCCAGCAGAGTCTGCAGATGACGCAGAGGAAGGATCGGAAAATTAAAAGTGACGAGCGAATCGACAAGAAGAAGAGCGTCAATTTAATCTCCGCCACGTTAAAGAAGGTCACCAAGAAGATGGATCAGGTTAAGGCGGCGGTGTCGGAGAAACTAAACTTCGCCAAGTGCGAGACGAAGTTCGTTCAGCCGAAGAGCAGCAAGGTCGACGCCAAGTCGAAGACTAAGACGCAGGATGCCAAATCTAAGACTAAAGTTAAAGCAAAAATTGTAGAGGTCAAATGCAAGGTTTTGGATTCGAAATCCAAAGTTCAGGATCTCAAGTCCAAGGATACACCTAAGAGGCACGAGATCCAGATCTCCAAGCCTAAGGTCTCTGAGATATTCGAGGAATCTAAAAAGGCCTGCCTGGTGAAGAAGAGGCGTAAGAGTACAAAAAAGACGAGTAAGACGAGTAAGAAATCCTGCAAAATGGAGGACAGTTTACCGGCCGAGGAGAACCTGTCGCTTATAAGGAAACCCTATTTGAAACCCAAATGGAGTAACGGCTGGAGCTGGGAAGGCGAGTCGTACGAGGCTAAAGTTTACCTAACAGTGAGCACTCTTTTATCTTCATAGCGATCTGAGTCAGATGAGAAACAGAGAAGTTTATCAGTTTCACACGGGAATATTTTTTTTCTTCATATTTTCAGAACGAGGAGTCGGCCATTAGACGATGCTACACGATTATGAAGCACGAGAGTGGCGACGTATTACGACCTCGAGATTGCGTCCTCCTCAAAAGTGGTCCAAGAAAAGCGGATTTACCGTTTGTTGCGAAAATCGCTGCTCTCTGGGAAAATCCAGACGACGGTAAGACGTTTATTTGGAGACAGACACAAAAAATCGCCAACTTCCCTCATACGTGATACTATAAATCATCAAAATTTTCTTTCTTCTTCAGGTGAGATGATGTTCTCCTTACTCTGGTACTACAGACCGGAACACACGGAACAAGGACGCACGGAATACGACACAGAGGATGAGGTCTTTGCTTCTCGCCATAGAGATGCCAATAGTGTTGCCTGTATAGAGGATAAATGTTACATTCTCACCTTTAACGAGTACTGCCGGTAATTATCATACCTATAGAATATTCTTCAAATGGATAAAAACAATATTTAATAATATATATATTTTTTCCAGGTACCGCAAAAATTTAAGAAGAATCGAGGAAGGCCTTGAAAGTCCTGGCTTGATAGTTCCACGTGGCGATCAAGTTTATCCCAGGGAGCATAGACAGCCTCCAATTCCAGTACCTTCCGATATGGTACTCTTCTGCCGTCGCGTGTACGATTATCGCGGTAAAAAGCTCGTGAAGAATCCCGGATGACTCGACTTCCTCTAAGACACTTCGAGATAGGAACCAATGGAAATGCACAAAACTTTGCGGAACCATGTTTAAACTGCGCGCAGATCTCTCTTCGGTCGGTAGGGGGGCAAGAATAAAATGGACGTCATCAAATCATCAACGATTCGTCGCGATTTCGTCGAAATCTCAAGGACACAAACGACCACATTCATTCCATTGGGATGTAAATTCATCCTGATAATAATCAGTGCAACAACGTTCACGTTGCTTCCGAAGAGAAGAAGAAACAAACCGAAAAATTACCAAGCCGCCGGAAATCGCGAGGAATCGGCCGCGACGCTCTATCAACGTCTAAGAAGTTGCACGGAGGTAGGCGTCGGCGTCGAGACGGCAATCGTAACATTAAATCGACGCCATCATCGTCTCGTCTGTGTAAGGTTCGCAGGAGAATTTCTTTCCTCGCTAATTTTTCCAAAGATAGTAATTTTCTAAAAGGTACTTTAAAAAAAATTGTAATAATAATATTAATAATAATAATACACGGCGAACGACGATGGCTACGGTTAACATGAAAAACCGTACAGATTGTCATCGCGTCGATGGCGACTGGCTTAAATAATAAATTTAAAGCCGCCACGTTCTCCATCCCGTCGTCGAAAAATTCTCATATGACGACCGTCACGGCTTCCACTACGCGCAGAGACGATTTTTCTAGCGAGTTCGGTGGATTTCCTTAATTTTATAGAGAAGAACGTAAAAGAGAGCGAGAAAGAGAGTAACGATATTTTTTTGCGAGATAGCGTTTACAAGTTTAAAGTGAAAATATTTTTCACATAGCAAAAACAGGAGCATGCGTTGTTGAGGAGACCTTGGAGCAGTTTCAAATAGGATTGTCAAGGCGCAGTCATACGAGATGACAGAAGAGCATATTTTCTTTATTTTTATTTTTTCAATAGAAACAATAATCTCGCCATGGTAATTTGACCAGAAATAGGAAGACATCTGTCACTCGACTAATTCTTATGGTCAGTTCAAGAATTTTGCTTGAACTGTTGAGTCAAGCAATAGTAATCCTCGTTGAATCAGTATCCGAAGCGCCTCATTACATAACTGTGCGATCCACCTCCTATGGCCGTGTCAACGAAACTGAAGAGAAATTATTTGCGATCATTGCGATGCCTCCGAATGAAAAGATAGAAAAAAATAACATCAAACTATTCCGCGGTACGTTCTGTGCCAATGATCGTTAAGACTTAATTTCTCTTACGTTATCGCCATTTACTTTCTTGTTTCTCTGTCGTTTCGTTCATAGAAACTGATCCCATAGGCCATTGCGACCATGTCGAAAAAAAAGACCACTCTGTACATTTTAGCGTCTCTACGTGCTTACCGGTAATTATGTAATTTTCAGATAACGTTCTGCTGAATCTTACAGTTAAGCCGGCAAAGCACATCGGCCACTTTGCGTATACATTTATATTTTTCTTGATTCTTCTTTTTTTCTCTCTTCAAATCGGTATACTTTCAATTTTTATTATATTTAACCCACGAGGGGTTCAGCGTAAATCATGAGTTCAGTTATTGATGTACTTCGAGGACCGACGGTAGAACGAATGTAATTCCGCACACGTGGGGAAGAACGTTGTTTTTTATCATTTACATTGTTGAATGGCGGGGTGTTTTGTTAGATATATTATATAAAATTAATATATTGATTATATTATTTCTATTATTATATTATGATTGCTATTATTATTATTATTTAATATCTAATATATTGGACGTAGTCTATAAGTTATTTCCGATCGTCTATGTGTGCATGAGAGAGAGAGAGATAAAAGTACGAAGAGCGAATGAATTAATGAACGAATGACAGAATTCCTACGAATGAAGAGACTGTCCGAGAGTCAAGAGTCCGAGAGGAGGACTAGAGAGAAAAGAAAAAAAGAAGAATTTAAAAGCACTAAATAGAAAATGATGAGAAACGAACATATGAAATAAGTTCGAAAGAAATCGTCAATACCAAAAGTTTTCTTTCACTTTGAAAATCTTTTTATCGCGATTTAATATATTTTATAATTAATTTATTAATTTATCATTATAACTTAATTAGGTAAAATCCGATAACGGAGTCGCGGTAGTATTACGAATGGCGCGTGTATCGATTTCCTGGTGGACGTTGACGTGTCCACGTCCACTTCATAGAGTCTCAGTAACACTATACGTTTCGTCTGTGGTTTTAAAATTGTCTGAAAGTTTTAATGGCTTCTTATTTTTTATTTTCCTTATTCCAATAACAATCGAGGTAGCACTCAAGTATCGAAACTCAAAAAAATCATTCCCTACCCATCATAAATGTCCTCGAGAAAGCTGATCCTCGCACGACGACATCCCGACGTTCACCAGGAGGCGGAGTTTCCGTTATTCATAATTTTATATTTCTTTTTTAACGTATAAGAAACAAAATGGGACAATGTAGTTTTTTATAAAGATTCGTCAAAAAGAACGGAGACACCTAATGGGGGCGACCGTGGGGCTATACGACCGATCCGTACAGTGTGGCCCAAAAAGAACGAACTTCAGGATCCACGTAGACGAGTATCTGGATCACGCGATCTCACGTGACATCGAAAAAGTGGAGATGCGAATATTCCTAGAAAATAAAAAAAATATATATATATATATTTAAAAAAAAAACGGTTAACATGGGAACATTGCACAAAATTGCATATCCTCCGTTCATTGTACATAGTCGATGGATTTTCTCTCTCATAGAAGGAAAGAGAAGAAAAGAGAAAGACGATAAGGAACAAGAAGAAATCTGTATCTGGTATCCGTAACATCTGATACGTCAACATTAAAACTGTAAAAGCGCTCGGTCGTGCGGATTCCGCGACAGGCAGCGCTGCGTCAGTTTCAGTCAAAAAAGAAAAAAAAAGCATTACCACCGCGATCAAGTGCATATTTTCAAAATGCACAAAAATCCCCAAAAAAAAAATTCATCGAACCCACGTTTGCCTTTGTCCGTTTCACTGCTCCTTTCCTCCATATTTCTTCCCCCCATCCCCATCTCCCCCACAAAATCCACTACAATCCCCCCAAAAAGAAATTCCATTTTAAAACCATTTTTTACGTTAAAAAAACGGCAACGACCTTTGACCGGGTGACGGCTCGACTAAAAACTGTACGAAACGAAGTAATGCAAAAATTCTCTCTCGATAACTGTGATTCAGTGTTAAACCATCGTCGTTAATTACGTAAATCCCGTACGTAGCGTACATAAGTTTACCTAACCTATAAGACATACCTTATATAGGGACACTCGGATTCTGTAAATCCGGACGTTTACGTAAAAAAGAAAAGACTTTGAGCATGCTCGAATTTTTCCACCGGTAATAATAATAACAACAACAAAAAATATATTGATAACGATAATAATAATATTAATAATAATATTAATAATTGCAACGTAATTCCGAAGGTACATCCTGTTCTAGCCTCGTGGCTCCGACGATGCCTCTTCTTACTCGTTGCGCAGCGAGAGAAGAAACAAAGACGTTTAAACACGTAGTATCTATACTGCCCGTCATCGATGCCTTCCTGACAAAGTTTCACTATTAATTTTTGCACCTACGTGTACTGACTAACTTCAGATCTGCAGCCGACCGAAACACAAACTGAATCTGCGCGTTGCATATAGTGATATTATATAAATGAATGAGCAAAGTTGAATATTAAGACGGTCTATTAGAATTGTTGATCCCGTAGATTTTGAAGACAGGTTATTTACCGATAACCGATTTCAGTTTACAGTAATCTTTATCATTATTACTTTCTATTTTATTGATTCGTAGGACAATTGATAGAGGTTTCCGCTTGTCTCCAGCTAAATGTCACAGCTATTAAAATGTGTATGCTTTTCGATTTTATCGAAGTGGACCAACGTGCGTATCTTGAGAGTAACAGCAACTGCTAGGCTATTTGCGTGGTAAAGGTGCTCGAGGAAAATATAGAAAAGGAGAAGGGATTGAGAGATTTAAATACGTAGGTAAAAGGGTGGGAGATTGTATAAAAAAGAAACTTGTGAATGGACCCCTCCCTGTCTATTTCCGTGAGGCACTAACCTCTTCATCGAGTCTGCTCCTCCGTGACCCAACTAAGGACCCAACTAAGGGTGAACCTCCTGAGCCATGAGACCCAAGTGAAACTCCAGTGAGGGATCAGAGTAAGGATACGGGTGGACGAGAATTCTTATAAACTACATGAGTGCAAAGACCTGGACCTAAAGTCCGCGGATCAAAGACGCACGGTCCAAGTCCAGTTCCTGGACGGGCGGCGGGGGCCTGTTTCACGAACTGCAGACTGATGTGTCGCAAAGGACTGTAGGGCTCTTCAAAGGGTCCCGAACTGTGAGCAACCTCAGCCACAGACGCAGAACTCAAGCCACGACAAGGCATCCGTATGAGGGCTGGATTAAGGACTTTCGGATGCTTTGGTCGCAGACGCGCAACATCAGAAAGGGGAGCCGGACCGATATCGCGATTGTCCACCATAACGAATCGCTAGGCAGCAGCGACCTCGGGGTCGGGTGACCCTTCAGGACCCACAATTACAACCTCCGCCCACTCGCCAAAACTCGGGCCAGGTCAGGCTTGAGGGATCAAGCTGATCACCGGAAGCGAACCGCGTTACTCGTCGATCGGGGCGCAAAGTGTTCCCGGTGACCGAAGCTACCAGGTGGACATAAGCTAGACCTGTACTCCAAATGAAGTAGCACAAGCGAACCCAGACGCACGTGGCTGCTCCCCTGGAGAACGCAGTAAGGGATCCTATAAGCATGTAACATCAGCATATTCAATACTTAAGTTAGTCGGTTCACCTAGGTGGGACCGATAATATTGAAACTGTCCGAGAGGCATCAACGACGGGCTGTGCGCACTGAAAATATTGATAAAAGGTGCCCTTATCATTGTTGTCGCGTAAGGTGTGCATCGGAAGTGACGTTGACGCATTCCTCGTGACTTTGGGATATCGCGTAGTGGAGACGAGGAAGGAGCATAAGGACGTAGGACTTAGCGACGGATTTAGGCTGAGAGCAAATCGTACGGTGTGGCGCCCATGACAGGATATACAAAATACAATAAGAGGAAAAGGGGATG